CTAAAAGCTTGACACATGTTCTACCTCCTCTAAATTGCATTTAATGCAATGGGTATAAATAGCTGAGTGCTCTCTTCACTCATGCATACAACACACAAACGCTATCTTAAAAGCAAATCAGAATTCTCTCTTTAAAATTCTAAGACACATACCCAAGAAGAACACATCTCTACTTTATTTCTTTCAGAAAATCTCTTATTTGCTAGTGTATCTGTGTGTATTTTTGGATTGTTTTAGATAGGCTTTCTTTACCTTTTCTATTCCGCAAACAATATGTAAAAATCTGTATTGATTCTTCTTTATCAATATATATTTTTAAAAGTGAAAGTTACTGTGTTTGTATTCATCCCTTCAAATTCCAAAAACTACTCCATAAGTCCTAATCTTCTTACCGTCCTTGAAATCCATGATGTTAATATATCAGGTCTGAAGGGATCATCAACCATGTCTCTCTTAATAATGTTGACTGGCCAAAAATGTCAATGGTTGCACTATAAAAAGAGGACTCCTTGTATCAAGGGCAAGAGTGTTAAGTCGTTCAATACAAGCATTTAGGTTTGAGGTTTGTTATGTAACAAGTGTGGTTTGTTGTGCAACAAGTGTCTGAAGTGCACCCCTCATTTCAAAAGTCAATTCATCTATGTCGACTTTGGTTTTACTCTTCTTATTCGGTCTAGACGGAGTTGCGCTCGATTTATCAATAGTTGGCCCTTCCTCCTCATCTTCATCTTCCTCATTTTGGGTAGTGCGGATGTGAGATGTAAATGATGATGATGAAACCATAGTCCTCTCATGGGTTGAACTAGGGGCATAAGCACGAGATCTGGTAGCAAAAGTCCCCTCAAACAAAGCTATACATAATTCAGAAAATGCCAGTGGTGATGTTTTTAACGTTTTGGCTTTTGGATGTCTCTGGATCCAAATTAAACATATTGATTTATACAATACCCGTGCTATTGTCTTTACGATCTAAAAATGCAAAATATAATAGAAACTAACCTTGATTTTTTTTCCCAGTTCTTGATTAGATAAGGTGAATGTATTCATTGTTGGGTCATAAATATTCCTTGTTCTATTTTTTAATTAGACCCGGCCCAAGTACTTTCCTTTTAAATAATCGTACTGATTTTTCAATTGTTTTTTGGGTTAGATTCACATGGCACACTTCCTTAAACTTTGTTGCCAACTTTACCCAAGTTTTTTTTCAAAGATTACCCTCATTTTCGATCCACTTTATTGACCTCTTCTATACAAGTCTCTAAAAAATATTTGATAATTTCATTTGTCCACTTTACACATGCATTCTTGTCCATCACTTATTAGCATACAAGAAAAAATCACATATTGCATTTGATGAATCAAAACCTCCAAGTAATTACGAATAAGAAGCGTCATATTGTAATCGATGAATCACCCATATATCAAAAGTACATAAATCATGAATCAAAACCCATAAATCAATTTATGCTAATAAATTATGCATGATGCTACAAAGGAATACCCATAAACCAATACCCCTAGTTGGGTTGTAAATGGGACAAAGATAGTGCTTAAAAATTCTTAAGGTAAACTTCTTAAAAAGAGAACATATTACATACAATAAAATGTTAAAATTATTAAATTAGTAACCTCAACATTAACCTTCAAGTATAAAATTTGTAATTCAATACCCATATACAAACAATGACCCAAACTGAATAGTAGTAATAGAAAACAATGACCTTCAAGTGAATATATATACACCAATATACATATTTCCCTTTGCTTTCTTCATGTGACTGATTATTGCTTCAGATTGATATAGACTCTATCAAATCATGATTATTGCTACTTGTGTGATTGATCCATAAGAGCTAAAAAGTTATATAAAACATCATAAGTTATTCTAGTGAGGTTTTGTATCTGGGTTGAATTGAGTAGTCAATTATCTCATGTTAAAATGATGACGAGAAACTTTTTGATGCCATAAAATACAACTGAATTGGCAGGAGTCGATAGGCTCAAGTCCAAAAATAATGTCAGCTTAAGGAGGGATTCATAGGGGATAAAAGATTCACTAGATGGCCGGTTAAAGATTTAAAACATATTAGTAACAGATTGAATTGAATGTCAACACATTTCACAGAAAGAATTTGGTGTACACGTTGTTTATTAATTAAACTTGGAAGAGCCAATATTTGATCTAATCGTGTTTTCTTGTGTAAATGACAGGACTTAGAGAACGAGGGAACAATTTTGGTTTGGCTTTGGTAAACAGGCCCCAACAAAAAACACTGGGAAGAGAAGAAAACACTAGGAAGATAACATAAAACAGTCCCCAAAATGAGGTGCTTAATTATCTAGTTGAAACTAAGTAGTAAAATCATAGATAGGGTGATGATATTGCAGCCGAAAATGAAGTGCTTAGTAATCTAGTTATATGGGTATTGAATTATAAACCACAATTTCAGACAAATGATCAAAATCTAAGACCGAAACAATAATCTTATTTTGGAGGAATAAAAAACCACCTTTAATCCAAGGAGTTTAACAGGCTTGCTGCTTCTACTATGGCTTATGTTCCAAACCCAAATCCAGAATGCTGCAAAAATCCCAAAAACACACATACACACATAACCCTAATTCAGAATCTTGAACACATACACACACATTAAAGCAAAAGGTTTACTTCTGGCAAAAGCACACCTATGATGTTTTGAGCCATAATCAACTAAAATACAAATCTATATGATACGAGCCACTGTCAACTAAAACACAAATCTTGTGGAACTCAAAAACCCATATGATAACTATTTTAAAAACCCAAATCCAAGAACAATTCTTATATGTTTTTATTTATGTGCTCGATTTCTTACCTCCAAGAACATATATCACCAACACAAACCATTTTTCCATGTTAATAAATGTGAAAGATCGTGCTTGAATCATGTTGGTAATTTCATTTCACAGATGGATTAGCGACGAATTTTAATTAATTATTATTTTGTTAAATTTTATCATTAATTCGTCAGTAGTTTAATTAAATTATTTTCAATTTTTTAATTTGAAAAATCACCAACGGAATATATTTTATTTTTAATTAAAATAAATTTCATCACTAATCCTTTTTAAATATGTTTTTGTTATTTTTTTTATTTAAGAAATCATATACGGCATATATTTTATTTTTTAGTTAAAATAAATTTAATCAGTAACCCTTTTTAAATCTTTTTTTTTAATTTAGAAAATCACTGACCGAATATTTATTGTTTTTAATAAAAATAAATTTCATCAATAATTTTTTTTAAATGTAAGTACTTTTTTGGTATATTTGTTTTATTTTATAGATGTAAGTACTTTGTGTTCAAAAAATGTTTAGGAACTTAATCGTTCAAAATATAAAAGTTCATTGATTTTTTTTTCCAGACTTTTTCCATTATTTTACCACACTAACCAGTTTACAAGTTATAAGAATATATATAACGGGTTTTAAAAAGTCCAAAAATCTATTTAACATGTTTTGGAATGTTCAATGACTTATATGTTCCAAATAAATTGTCTAAGAATTTAATCATGTCAAGCACTAAAGTCCATTGGTTTTTTTAGACTTTCCCTAATTAATATTNATTTGAAAAATCACTAACAAAATATTTTTTATTTTTAATTAAAATAAATTTCATCAATAATTTTTTTTAACTGTAAGTATTCTTTTGTAAGTGTTAGTATATTTTTTGTATATTTGTTTCATTTTATAGATATAAATACTTTTTTCGTTCAAAAAATATTTAGGAATTTAATCATTCAAAATATGAAAGTCCATTGCTTTTCCTTTTTCCAGATTTTTCAATTATTTTACCATATTAACGACCGGGCCCCTCCCTTGTGGTCGGCTTCTGTCTCTGTCTTTTTTCCTCCCTCTGCTTCTTTCTCCCTTTTTTCTTCCCTCTTCTCCTCTTCTCCCCTTCTTTCCCTTCTGGGTGCCTTGGATTCTGGTGGATGTGGTTCGCCCCCACCCGAGAGTATATTTTGTTGTTTTAGTGTTTTTGCCTTGATCTGGAGGGGTCTCCCCCCTCCCTATCAAAAAAGTTGTATATGTCATAAGGATGTATCTAACAGGTTCTAAAAAATCCAATGTGTTATTTAACAGGTTTTGGAATATCAAATGACTTATTTGTTCTAAAAAATTGTCCAAGAATTTAATCATTCAAAACACTAAAATCCATTGAGTTTTTTTAGACTTTCCCTATAATATAGTACAAAATGAAATATGGTTGTTTGATAAGTGTTTAGAATGAAATAATGATGCTTAATTGTTTAGGGATAACACAATGAATTATGTATTTGGATTTAGGTTTGATTAGACATGGTTGTTGTAGTAGTAGTTCTTTAATTTATGTTTTCTTAATTTAAGTTGTAGGGTTTTGAAGTTCCAAAAAAAAAGATGAAGACCCAAAAGAAAAAGAAAATAAAATACAATAAAAAGCAAAAAACCAAAATACCTCAAGTTCAAGGACATAAATTAATGGCCTTTTTGTTTTAGGAATGAAAACCGTGGAAAAGAAAATACAAACCCTAAGGTTTCGATATAATAAACAAAGTTTAAAGGAACTGTTTAATAGTTACCGAATGATTTGATGTAAGATGATTAAATAGTCAGAATGATTAAAATACTCTTATAATATAATATAAAATGAAATATGGTTGTTTGATTAGTATTCAGAATGAAATTATGATACTTAGTTTTTATGGAGACTTAAAATACAAAATCATACATAAGGTTATAAAACCGACAAATTTTTTCTGATTAAACAAGATTTATTTCTTAACAATTTAAATGTTACATTAAGCCTAAGAATAATTTTGTAATTTTATCAAATAAAATGGATGAACTTTAAGAAAACATGTTTCCATGTAAAAGGGAAATTTAGTGGAACACGAACAACGCTGAATGTTTTACAATTTACGAACGTCAAGACGACTTCTGCAGCTGTTAACCCCCCCTCTATCTCTCTCTCTCTCACACACACACACACAGAGACAGACCCTCCAGTCAATATCGGAATAACTGTCTTCCATTTCGGCGGCCTAATACCATTTATACTATTTTCCCTCTCAATTTCCCCCAAAAGGCTTTAATCTCTTGTGTAATTACAAGATCTTGATCATCATATCATTTGATAACCTGAATTAGCTTGAATCCGGTGTAGGTTTACCGAGATTGAATGATAAGATATATCATATATCTAAAGGGTTTGTGTAGCTATTTCTAGTGTGAGATCTGACTGATTATTTCATGGCGGAGGGTCGTCGTTATGCGCTTGGTGCTCAGTTGGGTGAGTTTGACTTTGACTACTGTGTGTAATCGTGATTTACGTTACTGGGTTGTTGCTTTTTTGTTTTCTTGAATTAGGTTTTGTGGATTTTTGTATGATCATGTCTTTAGCTACGGTTGTACATATCACACTCATATGCTGGTGTATATGTATGTATATCGTGCATCTGTTGGCAAGTTCTTGTGGTGTATATACAGTAGGTACAGTAGTGAAGTGGTGATGGAGTATCCGATTGGCCGAGTTGGTTGTTTTATCGGAAATTTCTATGGAGAGGGACTGGATATCTTTTCTTCCCTAATCCAAGACGATCACCTCTGGCAGTCTTAATCGACCCTGCTGTTTTTTGGGCTATTTCTTTTGTGGATTTTTACAGTGCATGAACTATGTAACATATGCTGTTTGATGTTAGCATCTACTAGTTGTCTAAAGAGCCACTTAGCTGTGCTCGAAGGACTAGGCTTTTGTGTGGTCCTGTTTCCGACATCAGATTTGAGTCAAAGTCACATTGCACACCAGCTGAATTTCCAAGTAGAGTGATGTAATTGGTTTCATAGTATTGTGGTGCTGTAGTTAAAAATTCGTTTGTTGGTCGTGATAAGTTTCTTGCTCTTGAAATTCTTGTTTGTGTTCTTGCCATCTCTTCTCTACTTCCCTATCTTGACAAAGTTTTTGGTTAAACGCAGATATTGAACAAATACTTTCAGAAGCACAGCATCGATGGCTACGGCCTGCAGAAATATGTGAAATTCTTCGAAATTATACGAAGTTCCGGATTGCATCAGAACCAGGAAACAGGCCTCCAAGTATGATTGTAAAGCTTGTGGCTCATTCTACACATGCACTACACTTTTCATAATGATCTGTTTTTTTAGTTTATATGTACCAGGGTCCACTACAAATCTTTTAGTTTCTCAATGTCCTTGGGGCGCCTTCATTGGGGGCTTTGTTATATTTTATTTTGTTATGGTGATCTGCTTCTATATCTGCAGAATTTAGCTTTGTTATTTTTTCTTGATGGTTTCTATGTCCAAGTAGCGGACCTGCGCGGCCAAATTTACAATGCAACTTGTTTGCAATGAGAGCTTGGTTGAGTTTCTGTTTGAATCATCACAAGAGTATGTTTTGACATTTACCTGGTGATGAACTTGAGTTGGTCAATTATAACCCTTTGTGTCATCAGTTTCCAAACACCTCTTCATATCAACCCTATGCTAGATAATGTAACTTTCAACAAAGAGGCAGTTGAGAGTTCCATTGTTATGTTTTGTTTATCATTTATCCTTTATTACCTTGTGAATTTTCCGGGAATATGGTTCTTACGTCCATCCAAATTTGGACATGGTCTTGACCAGCCTACTGTATGCTCAGGTCAAGTAGCTGTCAAACATGGAAACCATTCCTTAACATTGAGAGCCAACCATCAAGACTGATTTCACCTTGATTGTTAAAGACTGTAATTCAATTGCATTTCCTATAGTTAACTGTGATATATTGGTGGACTTCTTTGTATGCAATGATTATGGGGTAGGGCTTGATCGTAAATCTTAATAAATTTCTTTCTCTTCCATTTCTCTGGAATTGTTGTAGTCTTTGTGTTTCTTTCCCTATTCCTTAATTAATTATTGTTCATGTTAACAAGGACTTCACTAAAATATTAAATCTTGGATCCTTCCCTTGTTTATGATGTAGACAGCAATATCTTATTTCTTATATTTATATTTTGTACCTTTAGACATCATGGCCTGATGTGCTTGCCTCTTTTCAGATGGTTCACTTTTTCTGTTTGACCGGAAGGTGTTAAGGTATTTCAGAAAAGATGGACATAACTGGAGGAAGAAAAAAGATGGGAAAACGGTTAAGGAAGCTCATGAAAGGCTCAAAGTAAGCATTAAGAGATATCTTTTACTTCTAATATTTCACAATCTTCATTTTACAATGCTACTTGAGCCTAAAAAGCATTCGAAAACTTTGGATTCTTTTATCTATTTATTTTCGTTGCTGAAGAATTCAGTTTTTCTGAAAAATTTATTTAGCTTCCTCAATCATCTATTATGACTTAATCTTGTTTAGGCTGGAAGCATTGATGTGTTGCACTGCTATTATGCTCATGGAGAAGAGGATGAAAATTTTCAGAGACGCAGCTATTGGTTGCTTGAAGAGTGAGTGGAAGTTATCCTCTAGTGTGTCTGTGTGTTTCTTTTCTCTCTTTCCAAACTGTCTGCTTTGTGTTTTTACCAACTACAGTCTATCTATGATGCACATTTATACATTCATACATTGACAAGAATTATATAATTCCCACTCCGGTACTAACCTTTTTATGAGACAAATATTTGTTCCCTTGAGCCATGAAACCTCAGTGCTGCACATGCACAGATGCAACTAGTCTTTACCCCTCTTGTATGCCATCCTATCAGCCAAAAGTGGTTATACTTATTGGTGAACAATCAATAATAATACTGGTTTTACTTGTCAAGATGAGTGTTAACTTTGGGCTGGTAATCAATCCATGACTTTTGTTTGAAGGTGTCATAATTGTTCTAGTCAACTTTTGAGTTTCAGCTACTACCTCCTTAATTTGCAGTAGAATTGTAGCAAGCATTAATCTCTGTATTTTTGTCAAAAGGGCTCGTGACTTCTAGACATTATGGATTCTTGTTTTGAAAGGCTTATTTCTGGAGTATGTCAACTGTCCCCTTATATGTTTACTGCTGCTGCAGGGAGCTGTCACATATTGTCCTAGTCCACTACCGTGAAGTAAAGGTTGGTCTATCCTTGATCTCTTCTTCTCATTTCTTTGTTTTATTTGTTTGATTAATTGCTTAACAAATTGCTGTAGCTGTTTTAGGTACAATGTCACTTATGCATTCTCCCCCCTCAACTAAATGCTACAATTTCATTTATGGAATGTCGCAAAAAAAATTAGACATTTCCCTTTTTGGCAAAGTTTCAATCCTAGATTACCTCTTCTTAGTAGTAATTACAAAATATAGATAAGCATGATTTTGGTCAACAGATTCCTTTGTTTTATCATCATGGAAGGGAGTTTTTGATATTAACTAATAGTTAAACACTTTCACTTAACCATCTCTAGTTAGAAGTTGCACCTTTTTTTGGAGATGGAGGTGGTATGAAGCTTTAATGTTACTTATTTTTTGTACCCAGATTACACATGATTTTTTTCCCAAGAGCATGGCTGAAAAAAGAAGAAACTCTCTCCCTCCACACACACACTGATTGTTCTATTTCTGTTTGCTTTGACATTAGTGGTAATAGATGGCATAGAAGTTCTTCACCAAACTATATGAAAACCAGTGTATCTGATGTCTTACTTACCATAGATAAAGTGACGAAGGTGTCTTAAATGTGAGACAAGGATTAAAAACATAGTGAGTATAACATAGATTCCTCAAAATAATGGAAAGGAGAGATACGACAGAAGATCTTAGTGATTTAGCTTATATATATATATATGTAAGGCTATGGAGAAAATAGTGACATACAAAATAGAAGATGAGGGTGCATGTGTAGTATTAGTAGGAAGTATTAATGGAAACTGTCAGCTTTTCAGTCATGTAGTGAGTGGCATCAAAATCAATAACCTAAGATGATAAACATGCAAAAGGACTCGAGACCCATGTGTTAGTGTTGTATTAGCACCAGGAGGTGAATGCATATGACGGAAAAACATACATGGAAGCTTATGAATCTCCTCCACTTCAAAGACACAACAAATATAGTAATAGTGGTATAAATGTGGCCACTTCAGGTTATAATCATGCGAATGTTGCTACCTGGGATAATCGGCGTTGCTGTCATGTTTAATAGGGCATTTTTGAAAGATTGTAACACTGCTCCTTCCACCACCGGCAATGCCACATGCGTACATTCCATGCATGGTGTTTTCACTTGGCAGATTTGTGTGTTTGTAAGAAATGATTGTCATAATGCAATTTAATGAGGCAAAATGATGGTTGCACTTAAATTTTTTCATAGAGCCTTCAGTTGTAATCTGAAGGTATTTAGTTGTGTGTGTTAATTGAGTGAAATCCATGTAATTTAAGGTTGAAATAAATATTGAACTGGAGGATGAGGTAAAAATAGAGACTAGTTAGAAATTAACTAGAGTCTAGATCTTAACTAGTAAGATTGAGATAACAACAAAAAATGATGTAGAACATGGTAATGCATCCATCACTCGTCTGAGTGTAGATATACATCTTGCCTAACTTGTTGTATGTGAAGTCAATTTGGGTCTTCCGACGAGATGACACTCAAACCTATGGGTTTTGTCTTTTCTTGGAAAACCTGATTTTGGCTATATGAATAGCAAATAGATGGTCCAAAGGATCTCATATGTAACAATGGCCATAGCTCAATACTTTGGCTCAACATTGGATGGGGATATGGTCTGTCTTTTCTTGCTTTTACAAGACATGAGGTTGTCTCTCACATTCGATGGACTCTGTTTACAGGAGCAATCAGGATATGAGTATCAATGATGTTAGGGCCTGGTTTATTCAGGTTAGGTTGTGGGATCCACCACTAGGGCATTGGCAGGGGATTTGACAGCAAGACAAGCCTAAGCGTTGGTCTGGGCGTGGAGTGGTGACTGCTGCCACAGTGTCAAGAAGTGCAGGTGGGACCCTAGAGTGGTGAGAGGGAGTTGCAAGAGGTTATTGACTACCGGTAGTGATCAAATGATGCAGCAAAAGGCAGTAGTAGACTGCTTTGGGAGATAGAACATATTTAGAGTGTGAGAGTTTTAATTATTAAAGCTTCGGTTCTGATATCATGTAGAATAATATGTTTTAGAGTTATGTATTATTAGTCAAAAAAATCCTCTTTACATAAAGTTCATGATGAGCCACTAGGCAGATGATAGATAGATAAGCATGATAAGGGATAGACATTAGTAAAATTGGGATAAACCAAGAGATAAACATTAGTAAAAGTGGGATTAACCAAGAGATAAACATAGACGTTTAAAAAGTATAATCCACCTCTGCTCTACCTCCAAAAAGTTCTTCCATTTTATGACACTTATAAAGTTCTAGTGAGGATAGTGAGACCCCTAAAGCTTTCACAAGTTCCAATGCAACCGTCATTACAAAGTTATTGGATGGGTGAAAATTTTGTGAATGCTATTTATGAGCGTTTGGTTTCTCCAAAAGAGGAAAGAATAACGGTAAATGGAAAGAATGCCCTACCAAATAGAGCCTCAACAGTTTTAGATAAATTATTATGCAGGTTTTCATTGCAGTACTCAATGTTTTACTTAAGTGAAACTTTTTTATCTTCTACCCTAATCTAAAATTATATTACCATAGCCTTTTTTTCACTGATTCTCCTTGTACCTAAGCAAACTTTCTTTCTGACCCAATTTAGTTATCTACAGTCATACTCTTAGTTACATCATATTACCTTTTCCAAAGGAGACTGGATGGAAATTAAAAAAGTTTGATCACTTAGTGCCATTGTCAATAATGCAATTCTTCATTCACTCCTTAAACATATTCTTATTTTTTCTTTTTGATATTTCATGGTAATTTATCATCTCTGCCTCACAATTAGAACCCTTATTATATTCGCCCCTTGGGGAAATGGAACATACCATTTCTGGCTTTTTCAACTTTTATGAAGGATTTCAAGTTTTGTTTTAACATGTGCATGATTATGATCTCCTCCCACTGTTGGTTAGACACAAAGAAGGTTAAGTTCATGACTGTTGTTGCGTGTTATAATGAATTAGCCCATAGTAATGGGGCAAAATTACCTTTTTGAAAAGTTGTCCTTAGTCAGTGTTCATGCCCTAGCTCGCTCATTGGTTGAAGCAGGCTCAAGAGATAAAATCCTGCACACTTTCTTGCTGTTTTATGTCTCCCCCCCTTTTTTTTTGTTAAAGTAAGTGATCTTATTTGTACATTTTACACTTTGTAGTTCCCTTCAATGTTTATTTTTGCTTATTTGAGTTTGTTGAAAATTTTCACTTGCTTTTGCTGGTTTTTTCCCTTATGCAAATTTGCAATTCCTTGTAGTTTGCTGACTTAGTGAACTGTAATTTCTGACCAAGGAAAAGAAAACCTGAGTTCACTGAATTGTACTTATCCTCTAGTAACAAGGTAATGATGATAATGGGGATGGTTATCTATGAAAATCATACATCCAATCTGTCAATTGGTTTCAATGTAACATTGGGACTGCTGTTTCAAGTATTATACAGATCGTGAGAAAAAAGATTCTTCTTTCAGATGCTCTCTTCTAGGTTCTATTACTTCAACCATTTCATACTTCCAACTTAACCACAGTCAAGTTTGATGCATGCACTTCTTCACTTCTACTCCTCAATTATGTGAAGTCACACTAAAACTGATAATTTTCTCATTAATATATAATGCGTGGCAGAGACAGAGCCTGCATATGTCTGGTTTATATTATCTATTTGACATGGCTAGAAGAGTTGATATGCCCCTCTATGAATTGCTATTTGTTATTGATGTCTTGTGCATTTTGAAATGTTTCAAACACAGGGTGGCTAACTTAGTTGCTATAATTGTTGGTGTCAGGCCTTCATTGCAATTATATTCTCTGAACTTCTCTGTACTTTGTCAGTCGACTGATTTCATGTAAGTAACAACTTTTTTTTAATAATTACCAGGGAAATAGGACAAACACAAATCGCATTAGAGAGGTTGGAGAAGCTACTCCCAACTCCTTGGAAAGTGAAGAGAACATATCTAGTTCTGAGGTGGATGGTTCTGTGTCTTCTAAGTTTAGCACATATAATTACCCAGTGGCTTCACAAACTACTGACAACAGCACACAGGCCTCAGAGTATGAAGATGCCGAGTCAGGTACGTTTGTGGTGTGCTATTCATTTCCTACTTGTCTGCTTGTGGCCTTTTTTGTCATCTTATATTGAAATATGTTTAACATGGAAATGAACTTTTGCTGCAGCATATTCTCACCAATCTACTTCCAGATATAGTTCTGTCGTCAACTTGCAACCATCAGTGACTGCAAAGACAGATGATCATCTCTCTATGCCTTACTATCCAGTTCCTTCCTCAAGTAATTTCTTATTACATGCTCTGATGCATCATGTTTGAGTGATTGATTTCATTAGCTTAATTCTTTGCTCATGGCATGAAAGTCTAAACTGGTAAAGTTTATGAACGCTTACAGATGATTATGATGGAAAGTTTCAAGCAAATCCCGATATGAGTTTCGTTTCACTCATGCAAGGGGATAGAGGTGAGAACAATCTTGATGCTGATCTGACGTATAAATCCCAGAAGCATCTTGATCTGCCTTCCTGGGACAATTGCTTTGAAACCCAAGCTGCAGGAAGTCAGCCTGCTAGCTACCAGCCAACACATCTCTCAACTCAGTCTTATAATGCAAGTATCTTACCTGGACGGGGTAACGAGATGCTGCGTCAGGTTATGGCAGATGGATTTGATAAAGTGCAGGAGTTCAGGGGAAATTCTGGGTGGCAGGTACTGCTGATTAGAATTCTTTTTATTCCATGGTATCTATATCATTTTCTGTGTGATTTGTGATTTCAACTCTTCTTTTACGTGTATTTTGTTACTAGCTGTTGACTGTATCAACTTATGAAGTGTAAGAAGGGCATTTACTTTTATGGTGATGTTCTTTAAAATTAACAGTTTGAACAAAATAAGAAGCTTTGATGCATGGCCATCCTGTAGGCTGCTTTGAGGCCACTCACAATGATATAATATTCAGGGGAACTCAATATTCCTGGCCTTAAAATTAAATGAAGTTATTATGCTTCCTTGTATTCTATACCAGATTAGGCATCGGTTATAAACTTAAAGCAGGCTATAAGCGCCTTCTTAGATCATGAATGTCATTGGAGGATCATAGGAACAAAAAGAAATGAATGATAAGTGAGAAATTTAAAAGATTGTGTATAATTGAGGCTTAGCAGAGGAAGAAATATGAATAGCTGGCCAACTTTGTTCTAACAGCATGATATTATAAGTCATACCATTATAAAAATGTTCTGTGTGCTCTAACTGTGTCAAATATTTTGGACTTGCAATTATGCAAAGAACTATGTAACTACGTATTAGTTTGAAATACATAAAAGATCTCTTGTTGGTCATGAAGCATTAGATACATTCTTATGTGTTTATATTTCTTTGTTTTGGTAATGCATGCTGATATAAACATTATGTTGGTAATCCTGCGAAATGCATCCCACGGTTTGATTTCACTTCTGATTTCTATGTGGATGACGAGGTAGTATCTTCCTTCTGATCATTTAGGATTATGAGTATCTTATAATTTTTTGTAGTTAAAACATCTCAGGATCATCTTAAGAATTTACAACTAACAAGTGAATTGCTGCAATTTCAGGTAGATTTTTGGTGTATTCTACACTCTTCAACATGCTTCATTAACATAGATGTATAGCTAACCTACATAGAAGTACTTATAAGAAAAAGTATGTTTCATTCACATTATGTAGTTTTAGAGAGAAGAACAACTATGAGGACATGATTGACATATGGGGGGGTTGCTGATTGAAGTAGTTGCAATGAGGGTTCAATCTTGTCACCTTTTATGTAGCCAATTTTTCCTCCAGAACAAATGTACATGCCCACTGATTGGGACCAGGGTAGAAAATTTTCTCCATTCGGCCATACGGTAGTAATCTGGATTGGATGAGAATCTGAAGTGGGAACATGGTAGGGCTAGACTCGGATACAACGGCAGACATAAAAAGGTGGCTAGGTTTGCTTTTCTGCAGAGAGGTGCTCTGATAGCATATAAAAATGTGAGCAGAAAAAGTTATTATTTCTATCATGCAATTACATTTAAATAAGACCACAAGGGAACCAAACCAGGAAGGTTAGGTATACATAATCAATCACTCTACCTAAATTACATGATTCTAGCAATCATCTAAAAACCAAATCTCTTAATTATGGGATTAACACAACTTTACATTTATTAAATATTCTTCTTTCAACAAACATCAACATCATCTCTAAAAAGCCAAGGTCGTGGGTGGCCAAGAGGGCCTACTTGGAGACTTAGGATCTCAGCAGGAAATGCGAAGGTTGCTTAAAGCCGGTCGGCCAATAGGCGAAAAAGAATAAACTAGTTCATTATATTTCATGTGGACCCAGAAATGGAACGGGGACCATTCCATCATTACCCCCTTCCAGTATGTTCTTGATTCTCTCACTCCATATCCAAAATAATCTGGTTTTTGCAAGAGAGTTTCATAGAACACATGATTTATGATAAAAGACAATTATATGTTCATGGGAGAAATCCCATTAAAATAGGCACAACATGGTTGTAACTGATTAAAACAAAGATGGCCTTGGGATACACAGGAAAGAGAAATAAAGTATTTGCAGTCCTGTTACACACCTTGTCAAGTTGAAGCATAGGTGTTGATCATGTCCAACTGCCACGTCGCCGGTACTTGGATTTTGTACTAGATTGATGCACTGTAGCAATTACTTGCTTCTCAAGAGACAGATACTACTTAGTGGCCGATCATCAAATGCTAGGACACTGTACCCAGTCTGAATATTAGAACCCTACAAGATCCATAATCACTCTTTTGTAAACGCATCTACTATGAGGCGACCCTGAAGAGAATATCTTAGCTATTTGCACGAGAAATTGCCCGGATTTCAGGTTTTAAATCATTTCAGTTATTTTAGCTGTGAATTGGTTGATTGTGCCAGCATAGGTAATCTGACATGAATTTTTATATTCTCTCTCTTTTAGCATCATGATATTGTTTTCCATAGAGATTGACAACTTACTGTGCCAGATATATAACTTGCTGGGGTTTATTTTTATTCTTGTACTATCTGACTGAGATGTTGAAAAAGAAGTTGCCTTTTGTTGGCATAGATGGTGCAGTTCCATATGATTTTGTGCACAAGACATAGGTATTTGGGAAAATGCTTTTATTTTATCTGAAATTGGTGGCTCTAAAATGATTTTGCTCAATTGATACTTCCCAAACAGAGCACTAGTATTTCCATCCCTCCTGCTACCAATGTCCCACTAGGGCCCCAATTCTGCAGGGTTGCTGTAAATTAGTATCATATACATTTCTTGACTATCATCTTCAGAAGTGATGATAGTTGTTTTAACTAGTAAACTAGATGCTTCACCTGTCATCTTTTATTTATTATTGTTGTTAGTTCCCCTTTGCTGGATTCTAAAACTGTTTTAACTTGTGAACAATCCACAGTCATATCTCCAACCAAGATCCTTAACATATACTAAGTGATCTTTTTTTATGGAAATTTGCAGCTTGATGCAGAGTATAATGTTCCCTCTAGGTTTCAAGGAGAAGTTAGTTATGCAGAAATATTCAATTCCTTTGAGACTACCATTGCTGTTGACGAGTCTAAGCCTCTTGCACAAGGCAACCTTGAGTTACATTTTGCAAATGAAGATGGTTGGAAATCTGTAAAACCAAATCTGGAGGGTAATCCAACTCTAGATGACAAATCTGTTTCTATGAAACCACCATTCTTGGAAGGCTTTATGAAAGAAGGTCTTAAGAAGCTTGACAGCTTCGACCGCTGGATGAGCAAAGAACTTGGAGATGTAAAGGAGTCACAAACCCAATCCACTTCTGGGACGTATTGGGAAGCTGTTGAAAGTGAGAATGGAGTTGATGATTCCATTATTAGTCCACAAGTGCACTTGGACAGTTATGTGTTGGGACCGTCTCTCTCCCAGGACCAGCTGTTCAGCATTATTGACTTTTCTCCGAACTGTGCATATGCTGGGTCCAAAATCAAGGTACAGTGTAGTATTTCTTACAAGATTCTAATTAGGCCTTATGAATGTCAGACAATGAATAGCTGCATTTACTTGGGGGATTTGGGTGTTTAAACTGATTATTGAAATCCGAAGTTGCAACAATCGGGTTTGAGTAAACTGATTATGATTCTGATTCTCTGAATATTATAATCAGATTTTGATAATCAAGTAAGGAGTTGCAATAAGAAAAAGTTTTTATTATGTATAAATTACCTAACTTTTCCTATCTTTAAGCAATTGATTATCTTATTCTGATTCTTTCAGCTGCAATCCAAAACCCCTTTACGGATAAATTAATAAAGTAAAAGGAAAACAGTAGCAAGAATACACGGTAAAACGGAAAAATGGTGGCTTAATGTGCAAGCATGAGGCTTTGTCTCATTCTATGTCTTATGCATCTGATTCTGACTCTCAGTTGCAATCCAAACACCCCTTTACGAATAAATTAATAAAGGGAAAAAAGTAGCAAGAATACACAGTAAAATGGAATAATGGTGGCTTAATGTGCAAGCGTGAGGCTGTTGTCTCATTCTATGTCTTATGCATTACGACCAGGTTTTAATAACGGGTAGGTTTCTAAGGAGTCAACAAGAATTGCAGCATTGTGAATGGGCATGCATGTTCGGAGAAGTGGAAGTCCGTGCAGAGGTTGTAGCTGATGGTGTTCTCCGTTGTCATACACCCGAGCACATGCCTGGAAGGGTGCATTTTTATGTAACATGTTCCAATAGGCTTGCATGCAGTGAAGTACGAGAATTTGAATTCCAAGTTAATGAGAATCAGGATATGGATGCTCCAGATATGATTGGTGACAACTCCAATGAGATGCTTCTTCACATGCGATTTGTGAAGCTATTATCACTTGGATCTGGCGCTGCCCAAAATTCTTTCCCTAGAGTGAATGATCCTGAGCTGATGAACCAACTTAGTTCATTAATTCAGGAGGACAACAGTGAGTGGGACCAAATGTTAAAGCTTACTTCAGAAGAGGAATTCTCCTCAGAAAAAGCCAGGAATCAACTATTTCAAAAGCTACTCAAAGAGAAGCTATATGCGTGGCTTCTTCACAAGATCGCAGAAGGTGGAAAAGGTCCTAGTGTGTTAGATGAAGGTGGGCAAGGTGTGCTGCATTTTGCAGGTGCCCTTGGCTATGATTGGGCTATTGCACCCACAGTTGCTGCAGGTGTTAGCATTAACTTCCGAGATGTGAATGGCTGGACAGCCCTCCATTGGGCTGCAAATTGTGGCAGGTAAAGTCGTTGGTATGTGATATATGTATCCACTGTATCTGCAACTAGTAAAATGATGGTTTATTTTCTTGATTGTTTTAAGTTCCATGGTCTGCTATCGATGCATATGAATTTCAGCTTGTTAGAAATCTTAATATACAAACATTCATATATTTCATTCTTTATAATCTAGCAAGTAACATTCAGTCTTGTTACTTACTCTATGCTTTTTGTAGAGAGCGCACAGTGGCTTTCCTCATTTCACAAGATGCAGCAGCTGGAGCACTAACGGATCCTACTCCAAGATATCCATCAGGTAGAACGCCTGCAGACCTAGCTTCCAGCAATGGAGACAAAGGAATCGCAGGTTATTGTGCTGAAGCTGCCTTAAGTACCCACTTTAAACTTATTGGGTTAAAGGATCCCAAGGAGGGTGATGGTGGGCATATTTCTGGTTCAAAAGTTGTACAAACAGTCTCGGAAAGGACTCCAACTCCAGTGAGTCATGGGGATATGACTCAAGGATTGTCATTAAAGGACTCACTAGCTGCTGTTTGTAATGCTACTCAAGCTGCTGCTCGAATTCATCAAGTCTTTAGGGTGCAGTCCTTCCAAAAGAAGCAGCTAAAAGAGCATGGTGGTAATGAGTTTGGAATGTCAGATGAGCGTGCCCTCTCACTTCTTGCCTTAAAAACAGCCAGGACAGGACAACATGATGAGTCAGGACATGCTGCTGCAGTGCGGATACAAAATAAGTTCCGAAGTTGGAAAGGGAGAAAAGATTTTCTGATAATGAGGCAAAGAATTGTCAAAATTCAGGTAAAGTCTTCACCACTTTTTAATAAGTAGTGAGCTCCTAGTTAATGTATGTACCAAGTCTTTTTTTTGTTGTGTGAGTATATGTACCATATCTATCATGTTTCAAGTTTCTATTATTTTCTTGAATCTGTGTATGCGTCTGGGAAGTTCTGAAAAGAAAATAAGGAAAATAAATAACATCATAATTGTGAGGCTTCTTGCTTCACAAGACATGAAACAATGAAATTAGTCGCTAAGAAAATTGTGTGTATCACATAAATAGCATCATAATCTTAACTATATAGGTTTATATAATCTAAAATTAATTATATTGTATATATCACAATGAATCGCATAATCCTTGCTTAAGACAAATGAGCGCGAGGTCCCTTGACCCTTTACCTCCTCACTGCTATCTAGAGCACTGAATTTATCACAATAATGGATGAGTAAGGTTTACATGACACTGAAGCACCCATGATTTGCACAACCAAATATATTTAACGATTCATGCGCTTGTAAATGGCAAAAAACAAGGTGGAATAGCTGTGTATAATTCTCCTTCAAGTCACCATGTAAGAGAACACTATGCAGATCTGACTAGAGTAACTCCCAACCCGAGTTGACTGATAAAGATTCTATTTATAGCTGACTAGTTGCAAAAGCAAAAGTTTCTTGATAGTCAATAAGAGGGACCTCATGCTACAAGATGCATCTTATAACACTCCATAGTCCCATCCGTATATGGATTTCTATGGTACATTTATAAATACATGTACCTTCATTGTGCTTAATGGAATATTTAAGTAATGATCTTCGTCTTGTCTACTTAAATCTAAAATCACTGGTGAATTGGCCTATTACTCTTGAGAAACGCAAACCCACAATTCACTTCTATTTGTCTATAGTAGATTTAAGAATAATCCTTGACCTGGGTTTAAAAATGCGCACATAATGTGCTCCGATGCGTGATGCCCTCCGACGCGGGAGGTAACGCATAAGAGGGGCTGATGCGAAGCGATTCCATGATGCTCTCTGATGCGGTCGCATCACCTATGCATCACATGATGCGTGCATCAACGCATCTTGTATGTTTCATGTTTGGGCTTTTATCATTCTTTAGAGGTTTTTAGTTGGGCTTTTTGTAGATCAAAATAAAATGTAATAATGACCTAATAAAATAGAAGCCCCTCTCAAGTCTCAAGTCGCATATCAGATTAAGAACATAGATGAAAGTAATGAGTGGTTGATGGGGAGGATGGACAATGATGATGAAGATGATGATTTGGTGTTTATTGATGATGATCTTACGTGGGATGACGTAGGTAGAGCTTCCGGGGCATATGAGACTCCTCATTTCACTAGAGCATCAAGAGGGAGGGTAAATGATGATGGGTCGGGTCCATCAAGAACTAGAAGTGCTAGAGGAAAAGGACATGCTCGTTTGGATGAAGATGATGAAGTTGAGGTGGAAGTAGATATTGGAGGGTTTGATAATGATGAGGGAGATGAACCCATGTTGGGGTTTGACGATGTTGATCTTGGGGAGTATTAGTTGGTCACTTGGCCTTTTAGTTTAGGGATTGGAGACTATTAGACATTTACTTGTGTTCTTCATGGTAGTAGTTTGTGTTCTGTTATTCCGATTCACGAACTTTTTAAGATTCTAATGCCACTTTTTGAACTACTTTATGTTATAAATGAGATATTTTGATAGGTAAGTATTTTAAAGGTAGAAATTGATATGTAGAATTAATTTATAAGTATTTTCTGAATACCGGGCGCATCACGTACGTGATGCGAGTGCATCACGCATCGGCTTGCAGGACCCTTACCGCCTCGGACCGCATCACGCTTTTTAAAACCAAGTCCTTGACATAGTGAGATCATTAGACTCATCACTTACCAAGATCATGTTCCTTGGTAACTTTAACATTTTCAGTATGAGGTAGATTCTCAACTAAAGAGGAAAATCTTCATACAGGTGACAAATCTCTACATTCAGGGACGAACTCATTCATCTGGGGTTTCCTGTTGTTTTTGCAACATTCATCTTTGCTAATGGATTGAAGTAGAACCCAATTTCACTGTTACGAATATCCACAAAACCAAACAAATGTCTGGTTGCAAGATTACTGAACTTACACTCTTATTTCCAGCAACACATTGTTGATGGGTTTTAACATAAATACTACCAAATCTTGGAGCAACGACAAAGAGTAATATAGGCAGCAGTTTTTTTCTGGATAAAAATTCTATAGGACTTTGATCCAATTAGATTACGATACTGTTAGAACCTTTTATTGTTCCAATTAAATTACAGCAAAAGCTTCTAAACACTCGAGAACATAATATTTTAACGTACATATCTTACCAAAAATCATCAATAGAAATTCCAAAACCATCTCGAGACATTCTTGTGTAAAAGTCAATTCAGAAACATATTAATTTAGATGGACCAATAGCACTTTTAAAGTTATGTGCTATAGATAAGTCTTTCTACTCCTACGAGACAGAGGGAATAGTCTTTCTACTCCTACGAGCCTGTGGTGATGGCCTAATTGAATTTTGAAGGCCGGATTTGATTAATACAAATCTTTCAGTACTTATTATATTTAGTTCAAGAGAGACGTCTCTCTTTCCTGTATGAAGTTATTTATTTGTTCTCATCTCTCGTATAGGCACATGTCAGAGGGCATCAAGTGAGGAAGAACTACAGAAAGATAGTGTGGTCGGTGGGAATATTGGACAAGGTAATTTTGCGGTGGAGGCGTAAGGGAAGTGGTTTGCGAGGATTTAAGCCTGAACCAATTGCTGAAGGTAGCACCACAGTTGCTAAACCATCAAAGGAGGATGATGACGATTTTTTCAAAGAAGGCAGGAAGCAAACTGAGCAAAGGTTGCAAAAGGCTCTTGCAAGAGTCAAGTCTATGGTTCAGTATCCTGAGGCAAGAGATCAATACCGTAGATTGCTGAATGTTGTCAGTGACATGCAGGAAAGTAAGGTACACATCTTTTAGACGAGACGCATGGAGTGCTAACAAGTCTCATTTATGAAATCATGTCTATTACAAGCTGTTGTCTGTATTATTATTGTTTACTCATATCTAGCTTTTCAAAACTTAGCATATCGCTGGGGATCTTCACGGAAGCAACCGCTTTACTCTTTGGGGTAGAGTGGCAGGGTTGAGACATACTGGACCTATTTGGTTTGGTTTGTGCGCTTTACTTTAGCCCGGTTAATTACTTGGTCGTTGAAATGCTAGATATTTCCGTTTTGTCTAGCACAAGTAAGGCTATAAATGTGATAGTTCATGGGCAAGGTAGGGTTGATTGGCTCCCTCTATTCTAGTCCCAATCCGGCTTGTTGCCTTGATTTGTGGGAGTCTCTTTCTGAAATGGAAAGAGTGCATTATTTTCCATGGCTTTTTAGCAGGGGAACCTAATGAAGTGGCTAATGGTGTGGTGGGAAATGGATCAACTGCTTTGAGGAGATTTTTTTCTTTCAAGATTTCGAGATATAGGGATAACAAGAGATAGGATCGCCTGGTATGGGATGAGTCAACTTATATTCTCTCATAATCCTCTAGTACTCGCCCTAATGAATAAGCTGGAGAGGCTAGGTCTTGCTTGAAACCAGTAGAGCAGTAAGCCTGAAAGCTTTCCCGTGTAACTACCAGGACCTGGATGAATTTAGTCCTTAATGTGTCCAGCATAACACCTTCTCTAGTACAAGCAGCAGAAATGCTATTAGCGCCTCAAGTACAAACCATCATAACCCAAAGGGGTTAGCCTATTGAGCAAGGCTTCTTTGGGGTAGAGGTTCAGGTTTCTGTACATCTTACCCTTCCCAGACCCCACCTCCATGTGGGATATACCGGGTTGGTTTCGTTTTGATTTTGGAACCTTGGTTTAAGAGGTTCAGGTTCGAATCCCACATATGCTGTTGACTCTTTAGGGGCGATGCCCGCCGAATGAAATCCCCAAAGCCTGTTTGGACCATGGGTAGCTTTTGGTGCCAAAATTACAGAGGAGAAAGTACCAACCATCATGGAATTTGACAAAATGGCTTCCTTTTCGTAAATTTTCGATCATAAACCTCTTTATTACTTATGTTTTTGGTTTGTTTTGTGGGCAGGCTGTGTATGATAAGGCTCTAGAGAATTCAGAAGAAGCTGTCGACTTTGATGAGGATTTGATTGATCTTGACGCGTTGCTGGATGACGATGATGATGCCCTTATGACCATCTAAGCTTATTGCTTTGTTGAGTCTGTTTCTAGTGTGCCATATGCCTTCCTTTAGATACAAAGAAAGCTTTATTTTGTAAATGCTATAATTTGTTTGATTTAAAGTGGGTCTTGGACTTGGACTTGGACTTGTGTTAAGGTAGGAAACAGTGTTATCTTTGTACATTATATGCTTCTTACCATGTACTAAACGAAATACTTTTGACTTGGCTCCAAACTAATATTATTACTAGAAAAATTAGTACACTCGGATCGATCTTTTTTAATTGCTGTGAATCTTAAAACAAATCTTAGATTCCAAGACATATTGGGTATGTTAGTTTGGCTATATTTGGAATTCAAAGCACATATGGACATGATTATGTCTCTATTCCATGATGTTGATATCTTCGGAACCAAAACAATTACTACGTTGCTCTCAAATGGAAAGACAATCGAATGGTTGTGTGAGATTTACATTAGAATGAGTCATTTAAATTGGCTTCGAGATTTAAGGGCCTGTTTGGTTTGAACTTAGATTGTTTTTTGGGAGGTTTTGATTTTATGGAATGACTTTGTTGTGTTTGATTTGTAAGGGTTGGAAATGAATTTAACCATCATGATCGTACCTAATTTGCTTCGCTTTGAGAGAATTGAGAAGATGAGATATGGAGGTGATGGAAGATTAGGGCGGATTTGATGAAAGAGGTGAGGTGGAGATGCGATGGAAGAATTGTATGGGATTTGTATTTGAAGTGACACTTTCTTCAACTATATGAAGTGTTATTACCATGGTGAAACCTCTCAAATCGTCAATAAGTGTCCAACAACTGCCAAGGTTGAGAAATCAGAATGGGTAAAGAAAGTAACAAAAGCTGAGAAATCAGCTAAGGTAACCACCATCAAAATTGCTAAACCAATTAAGGTGAAAAAAACCGCTTTAAAATCATCAACTGAAGTGAAGAATGGTGAAAACCATGTCCACTAACTCAGCTGAACTCATTGTAAAATGGGTACCAAAGCAAAATTAATCTTCCTTATAATTGCAGAACATTAAGGGTATCTGATATCTTAATAACATATGCTCTAGACACATGACTGGAGCAAAGTCCCTACTAACTGAGTACAAGGAAGAAAAAGGTCCCTCAATGACCTTTGATGGAAATGGAAAAGGCTACACTAGAGGTTTTGGTGTACTGACTACTAGAGTAACCATATTCAGACGAGTTGCTTATGTTGAAGGACTAAAGCACAATCTATTAAGCATTAGCCGGCTATGTGACAAAGACTTCACAATGAAGTTCTCTAACAAGACTTGTATTGTCAACGATCAAGATGGCAAACTTTCCCTGACAATACTCATATGGAGAATGTCTATGTTATCAACATGTGAAGGGGACGGAGAAAAAAATGGAGAGGGTGAGTGTGGAGCTCAAAATAATGCTCCTATCTCAGCCGATACACTTAGCTGGGCACCCACATCTGCTATCGACATTCATTCGTTGAATGTTGGTATTGAAACAGACATAACTAGCCCAGCTATGCAAATGCACACCCTCCCTAGCCACTCTATTGCTTCTCAACAAGCAATCGTTTCATCTTCACACAGGGATTTAGCATATAGTCTATCTGCTTCTCACTTGGAGAATGTAGATATTGAAACTAGTAGGCCTCTGCCCCAGCCTAAGACTTCGATTCAGTGCACCTCGAGTCTAGTGCCGATACACTTAGGTACACTTGAGTCTAGAGCATCCGTTGCTCAATCCACAGTTCTTTGTGAACTAGCCGGAACAACCTGAGTGGAGTTTGTAGACTTTCCACAAGGACAGGTCGAAAGTCCTACCAGTGCTAACATTTTTCCAACATTGAACGTAGGCACAACAGTTGTCTCAACTATTGTTACAACTGGTAATCTATGTGATCCAGGTGTTACTTTACCTGACTTTGTGTCAAGGGAATATTTGGATGGCGCCCTAAAGGCTGTCTAGGATACTATGACTGAACATATTCTAAGTTTGAAAAGATTAATGAAGGGAAAAGAGCCAGTATCTGAAGAACAACCGTCTGTGTCGTCACCACCGCCTGCTCCTGAACCTCCAAGGGAACAAGAACAAACGGTGGATGAGCTGAAGTCGTTATTGTACGCAAAGTTAATCTCGAGTCAAAATCCTGATGCAGCGGATGCAGATCTGGTTGGGCTCTTAAGACAACAAGTAGAGGAGAATCCCACCGTGAAGGCCTCAGAATTTCTAGCTTTCCAGAGCGTTGTAACTACTAATTTCTCAAAGATTAGTACTATAATTGCCTCTAACACTCAAAACACTTTCTCTAATGCAAAACTCCATCGATGCCTTAACCGAAAGGGTATCAACTTTAGAAAACACTTGCCGAGCTCAGACCACCATTTTGAAGAGAAGGCATAATGATCAGGACGATCCTAATCACCATGAGGGGGAGAGGAAGAGACAAAGGCTGGATGAGTCGTCAATGGGTGTGGAAGGTGTTGCTGGGAGCCAGAGTCTGAAAATGTTATTGAAGAAAGTCCAGTTCCAGTAAGTACAAGAGAACGGACTACTAGCCAAGAATTAGCTGAGAAGGTGACAGCTGTAGAGACAGATCATGTGATCGAGCCAATGGTTGAAAAGCCGACGGACTCCACAGTAGAAACAAGGTTGTTATTGGATCTGTCTGCTAACGTTGGGTTCAATGAAGTCTTCTCACGAGAACTGGGTGGAGTTCAAGACTATGGTGAAGATATTGATAATATTGATGAGTCGGTGGACATCTACCTTGACTTTGAAACATATATCCATGAAGATGATCCTATTTTCCCTTTTCAGGTTGATCATCAAAATACTTCTGAACCTTCTACCACAGTTTCTCAAAGCGCTTTTGATACTTTCAAGATGACATTTGATCCTACTGAGATTTTCTCTAAAAATTATGTGCCATTCGCAATTCGTGCTAATGTTCCAGGTTTTGACAGAGCTCGAATCAGAGAACCTTTTTCTTGAAGACATTTATTTTGGCATTTTCATCCGTCACCGAAAAGCTTTAAGTGGTGACAAAATCCTTGGAATTCACAAAGAGATTCGAGAGTATCACATTTGAATACAAGCATTTCTTAAAAGCCAAGCGCCAACCGATTAGTCAAGTATGAACCAAGCATCGCATCGTGTCTATCAAAAATGTTGATGCCAATAAACTCGTAAGAGTTTGGTATCCTGTTTTTACCGTTACAAGACAAGATGGACACATCTGGACGTTTAGCGAAGCTGACTTCCCAAATCTCTACTTGAAGATCTGGAGCATCTTTACCATGAACTTCGGGATCTCACTGTCAGGAAAGAAGGAGCAGTCGTTGGTTTAGAAGCTATAAAAAAAATACTTGAAGAATCATGTTAGATTGTCTTCGGTCATTGATGTTCAAATGGGATTTGAAGGTATTCAGAAGATTATAAATTTGAAAAGACATGATCAAGACATTGAAGGTTATCCTCTCTTTATCATTCTTGAAGATCCAGAGTTTGGGGTAATATATGATGGTGCAGACAGAGCGAAGAGGTTTAGGAGGTTTAGTGAACTAAATAAGTACTCTGACGGTACTATCAAACTTGTGCGAGGAGCTCTTGAGAAAGTTAAAGCTAACAATGATAAAGCTTCAGAGCATGAAAGAATGAGTCTTAGAGAAAGATATATACTGATCAGTGCGTTAAATCTTCTGGATGATAAGGTTGCAGTATCGGAGTGCATTAAGAAGAATCGAGACTCACTTGGGATTTAAAAAGTCAAAATTTACTATTTCTCGTGCTTGAATCTAAAGGGGGAGAATGTTGGATTCAATGTTGTGCATTAATGTTGTATTCAAGCAAGTTTCTCTTATTTTGTAATAGATTAGCCTTTAAAGCTGTTGATCCTCTCTCTCAGTGATTTGATGATAATCCCTTTTAATCTATCGATGTAATTTTGTTTCTGTATTTTCAGTTCCAGCGATCAGACACTGAGTATGTTCAGTGATCGCTGAGGAACTTGCTTTGTAAATCTCATAGACAAACAATACTTCAAGTAGACTACACTCACACCAAAGAACCTTTAGCGAATGTCGAAGACTGAAACTGAAGATTAGAGACTGGCGAGTACGTGATCTGAAGCGGTAT